ATCAGTGCCATGTTGCGCATGGATGGTGTCCCTGTTAATGCTTTTGGTGTGCATTGACAAGGTCACATAAGGAGCCCTATGTCACGGCTTAGGGTTAATTAACAGAACAGAGACAACTGCATAGCTCATTGATTAGAAGGCTGTGCTCTATCTATGAATGAGTCAAGTTCTCATTAAACCCAAATCATGACCAAAGTAACCAAAAATTTAAAACCTAAAAAACCATCCCCACCACCTAAATATTTTAATATATCTTTTACAAATATTCGCGGTCTACGAAGCAACTTTCCATCAATTGAGTCTTACCTCCTGCAAAATTCACCAGACTTGCTTGCACTCAGTGAAACAAATTTAAATTCCTCATTTCCTTCTTCAGATGTCAGTGTTGACGGGTACTAATCTTTGATTCGTAAAGACTCCAATAGTCACATGCTAGGTTTAGGGGTGTACATACGCATTAATTCCCCTATTTGTCGTGAAATCAGGTTCGAATCCTTTGACCATTCTTTTATGTGCTTTCGCCTAGCATCTCTTCACTCTATCACCTTTCTCTTTGTTCTTTATCGTTCTCCTTCTTCCCATGATTGCACTCTCTTAGATGTTATCTCTGATCAAATTGACCATGCCTTCTCTCTTTACCCCTCTGCCAATATTGTTGTTGTTGGTAATTTTAATGCCCATCACACTGAATGGCTTGGCTCAAACACCACTGATCCTGCTGGCACTAAAGCCTTTAACTTCTGCGTTTCTCAATCTCTTACTCAGATAGTTAACTTTGTGACTCGTTTTCCTGACAACCCTAATCATTTACCTTCACTCCTTGACTTATGTCTCATCTCTGACCCTAGCTTATGTTCAGTTTCTCCCTTTTCTCCCTTAGATGGTTCTGACCATGCAATGATCTCTATAAATCTTTCTTCTCGTACTTCTTTTTTGGGCTCACCTTATCATCGCACCACCTACTACTACCCTAAAGCTGACTGGGATTCCTTTCGTGATTTTCTTCGTGATGGTCCTTGGGCTGATGTTTTTTCTCTCTCAGCTGACAAATGCGCCTCCTACATAACCTCCTGGATTCAGGCTGGAATGGAAGCTTTTATTCCTTCACGTCGGTTTCAAGTCAAGCCTCATTCTACTCCATGGTTTTCTCCTTCTTGTGAGGCCGCTATATCCAATCGTAATCATTTTTTTCATCTTTTTCAAAAGAACAACTCTCTTGAGAACAAACGGCTATTTATTATTGCAAGAAATCAATGTAAAAAGGTGCTTTCTGATGCTAAACTCCATTATTCTCAGTTCACTAAATCTCGCATCTTTTCGCAGAAGTTAGGCTCTAAAGACTTTTGGAAAATCTTCAACAGCATTGTTAACAAGGGTAGATCTAACATTCCATCTCTCATTCATGGGACTGATCTTATTACCTCTCCCAAGGATAAGGCAGAACTATTTGCAAAGAACTTTTCTTCTAATTCCACTCTTGAATCTTATGGACATTCTCTTCCTTCCATACCAGTCAAACAGGTTGACCCATTGTTAGACATTCAAATCACTCCGGCTTCTGTTGCTAAAGTTATATCTTAATTAAACTCGTCTACAGCTTGTGGTCCAGACAACATTCCTGTCACAGTCTTGCAGAATTGTTCTCCAGAACTTTCTTCAATTCTCTCTAAACTATTTAACAAGTGTTTGACTGAGTCTTGTTTTCCTGCTTGTTGGAAAATGGCATCTGTGGTTCCAATATTCAAAAACTTGCTAATAACAGAAAGAAGACTGATCGTCCGATCAGTCTTCTTTCTGTTATTAGCAAGGTCTTTGAGCCTTTGATCAACAAATTCCTCACATCTCATCTTGAGTCAAATAAACTACTGTCAGACAATCAATACGGTTTTCGATCCTCTCGCTCTACGGCCGACTTGCTAACTGCTGTAACTGAAAGATTTTATCGTGCATTAGATGGAGGCGGTGAGGCTAGGGCTATTGCTCTCGACATATCTAAAGCTTTCGACAAAGTTTGGCATGCTGGTCTTCTCCATAAGCTTGCTTCATATGGTGTTTCTGGGAAAGTTTTTGAGATTATCAAATCATTTCTTTCTAACCGGTTTATTAAAGTCATCCTTGAAGGCCAAAACTCTTCTTTATTTCCAGTAACTTCTGGGGTTCCTCAAGGTTCCATCCTGGGCCCTGTTTTGTTTCTTATCTACATAAACAATCTTCCTTACAACCTTTCATCTAAAGTAGCTCTTTTTGCTGATGACTCAACTTTATACTCCTGTCTTGACAAAAAGTCTTCTCTTTTTGATTGCCTAGAACAAGCAGCTGATCTTGAATCCGATCTCACTTCAGTAATAGATTGGGGTTCATAGTGGCTTGTGATTTTCAACTCTAAAAAAACCCAGTTGCTTACTGCAAACAACTACCGTAATATGGTCAACATTCCTATATTAATGAATGGCAATCCTCTAACTGAGTCGTCCTCTTTACGTCTTCTTGGATTATCGCTTACTACTGACCTTTCATGGAAACCATATATACAATAGATTGCTAAATTAGCTTCTGCTAAGGTTGCTTCTCTTTACCGTGCTCGCCATTTTCTTACTTCTGATTCCATTCTCTACCTCTACAAATCTCTAATTCGTCCCTGTATGGAATACTGTTGTCATATTTGGGCTGGTTCTTCTAACGATTTGCTTTCTCTTCTTGACAAGGTCCAAAAACGCATTGTAAATGTTGTTGGACCTGGATTATCTGCTAAGCTTGAACCTCTTTCCCATCGTCGTAAAGTTGCATCTCTTTCTTTTTTCTACAGATACTATCATGGTCACTGCTCAAAGGAGTTATCATCTCTAGTTCCATCAACTAAATTCATTCTTATTTTACTCGTCATTCAGCTAAGTCTCATTCGTTTACTGTATCTGTCCCTGCATGCTCTAAAAACTTTTATTCATTTAGTTTTTTTCCCCGCACTTCAATCCTTCGGAACTCTCTCCCATCTTCATGTTTTCCTGACTCATACAACCTTCAACTTTTCAAGTCTTCTGTCAACCGTTTCCTTGCTCTATAACTTTGTTCTTTTTTTTCCTAGTAACTCCCAACTTGATAGTGGTTGCTTGCAGCCTTGTTGGGAGTGAATGCAAATAAAAAAAAAAAAAAAAAATACATAAATTACTGCCGTCACTAGGGTAATTTTATTAGAGTTTATTTCTTTGAGAATTTTATACAAATATTTTGTTTATTCTATGTATATAATCGTCATTGTATTTGTTACTATCAAAAGAGATTGGTTGCAGGAAAAGCCTAACAGTATAGTAGATTGAGTTAACATGCGTATCATCCCAACTAGCACAATACGTTGGGTCACCGTTGTTTTGCAAGTATACTACGTTAACCCAACGTGGTGTGCTAGCTGGAATCCCTAGAACACGTTTCAAAGAACTTTTTTTGCGTGAAACCTAATAATATTGTTTTTAAATATCTTGTCAAATTTTAAACAAATTGGGTTTAATGAATTTAAACGACTTGAAAAAAAAAAGAGAGAAAACAAAATGTAAAGTTTTGAATCAAAATTTTTTTTTGGAACAGCTTCTAGATTTCAACTTTTGTACACGTGTGAAAGAATAGCTTGAATAACTTAGATGAGGTTGATAGGACATTTTTTAACGTTCCGATTCTCAGTTTTTAGTATAAATTTAAACCGAAATTTTGCTTTTTTACTGAATTTTATAAAAAGTAACAAAACCGAAACTTCGGTATCGGTTCAAATTGAAATTTCGGTTGAAACAGAATTTCGGTCGATCACTACTCAATTAGATTCACATTTAGTTACTCAGACAAAAGACTGCCTGTTTTTAAAATTTGGTCTGGGTTTTACAAAAAAAGCGAGACCAGGATTTGCTCACTAGAAAAAAAGTGTCGACCGTACCGGTCTAAGTAAAGTGTCGACCGTACCGGTCTAAGTAAAGTTTTTTAAAATGAGTAAAAATCTTTTTAAAAAAGTATTAATTGTATCTTTTAAACAAAAGGTTTAAATAATGCAATTAATACTATATTTAAAAACAATGAAAACTTTTTTTCTATGCCTGCGATTAGATAGTTAAGGTAATAATGGATATCCATTTAATCTTGTCATAAAAAGAACTATCATTGCTTTTTTGCAATGATAGTATGAATATGCAAATCCTTTGGATTGGGTCAGAACTCTAACTGCTGCTCCACGGCTACTTTAAAATTAATAAACTACAAAAAATTAATTTTTATAGGCGTTCAAATAACGTACTAAAATCACGTCTTGGCATGTTTTTAGGTAACCCTTAGTAAGTTGAGACGCCTTTTATTTGACGTTATCAAAACATCTTTAACGTCGTAATGAAGCTATTTTATGACGTTCAGAATTATGCTAAATAGCAAATGGAATCGATGTCTTTTTAGGACGTCATTAAAAAGATATTTTTAAGTCGTGTTTTCAGACGAATTAAAAAAGTAAGGGATCGTCCATAATAACATTACAATTAAGGTAAAAGTTTTCGCTTGCAGAGCCTTAAGTTAAATAAAAAATCGAAACAACGCATAAGTATAATGAAAATCGCCGTGTAAAAGAGCTAAAGATCTCCTTTTTAAATAAATTTAGTGTTATTTATAGACGATCCCTAATTTGAAAATATCGGTGTAAAAAAAAAAAAAAAAAAAAAAAAAAAACCCTAGTTTCTATCAACTTTAATGGATTATTAGTATACAAAAGAAGTTCTATCAGTTAGTATAAAAATGACATAGATTAAAGCACTTCTTGTGTCATTAAACACACGATTTGGTAGAAAAATACGTATTCCCTACATATAAAATTATTCAGTTTTTTCTTTCTCCTAAATAATTTGCGAAAATAAAGTTACATCGTTTTTGCACCCAAGTCTTTAGTTGTTTGATAACTTCATTTTATTTCCTTAAATTTTTACCCCACAGTATTTCTTAAAAATAGCAGCAACAACAAAAAAAAAAATCAAATCGAATAAACGTTTTAAAATATATATTTTCGATAATTTTGAATTTTTATAAATTAAACTTCTTGTTCCTCCTCTTATAGAAACGACTCTTCGAACAAATGACATCCTTTGTCCTCTTTTTATCCAGGCGCATGCTTTAGTGTATTTGCAATCACAATTTGACAGTCTTTTTTGGTGTAGTAATCGACTAAACAGTCTTAAACGTAAAATATTTTTAAAATAATATTAAGTATTCAAAACTTTATGAGAAAAAAAATTAACAATAAAAATCATAATAATAAAAAAAGTCATAACAATAACCTTATAAGTGGCTCATAGGATAAGAAACACTAAAAATCAAAACATTACTTTTTATTTTTTTATTATTATTTAAAATTTATTCTAGATTCAGAAAATATATACATTTATGTATATTTTAAGTCAATATTTTATGTAATATTCATTTTTTTAGATGTACAGACTTTTAAGAATCTATAAGCAACAGCTTTTTTTTTAAACTAAAACTTTAGCCAACACACCAGAGTTCAAAAATATGTGTTTCTAGTATAAAATGATATTACCCCGGAACTTTCAATGGATTTAGCACACTTGATAAGCAATTAAAAGTTATTAACATTTTAAAACATTTTAAATTAAAAACATTTTAAAAGAAATTTGGTCAAAATTATGGCAAAAATGCATAACTTTCAGACAAAAGATTTAAATTATAAAGAAAAACCATCAAGTCAAGTATTTAAAGATATATAAAGTTGAGATGCTGAAAAAAAAATGATTATCACAAAGTTGTGCAGGAAAGTTATACAAATAATGTAAAAGAAACCAAGTATAATTATCGATAATGAAACACAAGTGAACTTAAATTTCAAAATAATCCCAGGACATTTATATATAGGGGTCTACAGGTAAATGGCAAACACTAATTTTAAAACGCTAAATATGAAGAAATTCCTAAATAATATTATGATTTGGCCATATGTTAACGTTAAGTAAGTTTCAAGTTTTTTTAATTAATAGTGAAATTTATCTAAAGTATGTAGAGTACTTAGAAAAAGTGTTATTGCTACTATGGTAGATGAACCCACAATCAGAGTTGTCACTTTAATTTTTAAAGTTTTTTTCTGAGTAAAGAACGTTTTCCCCTAAGTTAAACTTATGAACTCCTAGACTTTTCTTTTTTCTTCCCCGTTCCTGGTGTTAAGAGAAAGCAAAAGTATTCTTCTTGAATTCAACTTCATCACCAATACTGTTGGCTAATGATCAATAAAGTAAGTTTCAGTTCATGAAAATTTACTAAATCAAAACCATATTTCAACAATAGTCGAACTAATCATAAATAATGAAGTAGAACTTTAAGGTTGAACTAAAAAAAATGATAAAAAATTTAATATAATAAAAAAAATATTTAAAGGGATCCCAAACTCCCAACACATGTTGTGTTCATATTAAAGGTAATGTTAAAAAAAAAGGTTTGAACCAAATTTTTTTGATTAAAAATAAATAATGAATGCATACCGTGAAAAACAAATGTTGTTGTTTTTGCCGAGGCTCGTCTTCTCCATATTTTTCAACTGCTCGGAATTATGCGTCTTCAAATTATGCGTCGCAATCTACAGACTTTGGCAATTCCTTTAATTCATAAAAGTTTTAGTATTTGACGTCACGGTAGACTTTTAACAAAAGAAACTCTGGAAATATTTTTATTTATTTTTAGTCGAAGTTTTTTTGGTTATTTGTTTATTTTTTTTTTATTTTATACTTTTAATATTTAAAAAGATATTTAAAACCTTAATTATTTTATGCTGGTTCGTTGATATAAATTGTTATTGCGCCATATATTTAATGTTTATAAATTATGAATATTCAAAATATTTGTCTCAAAAATTGTTTTACATTAATTACCCGTATAAAATTAAAAATAATCTTAGTAAAAAATATTTATCTCAAAAACTGTTTTACATTAATTACCCGTATAAAATTAGAAACAGCTTTTTTATTTGGTTACACATTATTTCGTTTCAATTTGCTTTGCGTGAAGTTCGGAAAGTCAAACGAAAAAAATGTTTGAATAATCACGTTAAAACAAATTATTTTAATGACGGGGGTTCTAAAGTTTTTTATAACAAATGTAGGTAAAAAAATAAATAACTAAATAAAAAGTTCAGTATTAAACACCATTTCTTTATGCTATTGCAACTGTGAATATTGAATTATTAACTTGAACTAAATTTACTTATTATTTAGAATGACTAAGCAATAAAAATAAAATGCCCCTAAAATTATGCGAGATTGTGTTGTTTATTTGATAACTGTTGCTGGTAATGTTGTTTATGTTGATTATTTTCATAAATATTAAAATAGCTTCAGATTAATCTGTTTGTTGCTTTGCTCATTGTTGATTTATTTATAATTTAATTTTATCTCAAACTATAATTATATGTTAAAAAATAAAAGTTTTTATTTCATCGGGCGCTCTTTTTATAAAAGAGTAGAACAAAAGAGAAAAAAAAGTTTCGCGCAATTAAACTTTGAATGAATAAGAGTTGTATAGAATATATATTTTTTTTGCGTCACTTGTTCTTTTTTTAGATGAGAGAAATAAAAGTTTAATAGTAAATTTTCTTTGAATAAATGAGAATTGGAAGAGAAAATTGCTTGAAAATTTGTATTTGTTAATTGTGTTTTTAAAAATTTTGAATTTTTCATGTTAAGAGACAAATGCCAATTACGACACAAATTTGGAAATACCAAATATAATATGTCTTTTAATGCGCGCTATGACATTTTAACAATTTAAATTACCATCTATCTTGAATTATTGCCTTCAATTAATGTGTTAGTTATTGCGTTATTTAATAATAATTTGTCGGTATTTTTGTTAAATATTAGTTGTATAAAACGGGCGAAAATATACAAACTTCATGTTTTTTATTTGATGGTTATAAAATATTGAACAGTTAACTTATAATCAAAATTTATAATGCCGACTTGTGTTGCAATTAATTGTACTTTTAATGCAAAATCAGGATCTCACATATCCTTTCACGAATTTTCATATCTGATACTACAGTCAACTGTATTGTTTAGTGTATTCTTGTACTTTTTTTCATAATCTTAACAGGTTCTAATTGGTATGGAGTTGCTGACATTTAAAAAATTTCATAATCAAAAATCAAATGTAAAATAAAATGGTATTTCCTTTTTATCCGTATCCAATTCAGCAAATTTAGCAATTTAAATTAAATCAGCGTGATCAAAAAAATTTTATAATAAAAAAGTTAACAATTCATTAAATATCTCTATTAATACTGTCTGTTTATGAAAGTAATTGTTAATAAATACTTTTTTTCAACGGGAAAACAAAAAATTGTCATAACGTAAAAATAACCAGAGAAGTTAGAAAATAGTTTCCATTGTTTAAATAAAAATAATTAAGAATCAGAATATATAATACTGCGCTCCTCTTGCGCAAAAACAAGAGACCGTATATAAAACGTTCTATATAGTGTAAAACACTCGTATGAAAATCATAAGATTCGTAAGTAAAGCTTTAATATTTGTTTTAATTTAAAAACAAAAGAAATATAAGTAAGATATATAAATCGAAAAATTATTAAGATATCTGTAAAGAACAAGTTGCTCCTATAAAATAAAAAATAATTTATCATTTTTTCTTATTACAAATTTTTTTTTGGCGATGTTTAGAAAAATAATAAATTTGTTTTGCTGTATATTAAAAAAATACTACAGTAGAAAAAGGCAGCTTAGTTTAATTACACTTTTCTTTTGTTAAAAGCCTACCGTGACGTCAAATACTAAAACTTTTATGAATTAAACGCGCTTCAAAGGAATTGCCAAAGTCTGTAGATTGCGACGCATAATTTGAAGACTCCGAGTAGTTAAAAAAAATGGAGAAGACGAGCTTCGGCAAAAACAACAACATTTGTTTTTCACGGTATGCATTCATTATTTATTTTTAATCAAAAAAATTTGGTTCAAACCTTTTTTTTTTAACATTATCTTTAATATGAACACAACATGTGTTGGGAGTTTGGGATCCCTTTAAAACTTGCATTAAATATATTACTCTTTTAATGAAAATATATAAAAAATCAATAACATTTTATGAAGATCAAAAGAAATGGCAAAATTTAAACTTAAAAACATGTTCATAATAAAAAACTGAATTATACATGGTAAACTACCCAGTAGTCGACAACTACTTATAGTCTTTTTTTTTCCAGACGTTTTGTCACTAAAAAATAGGCTGAGTAAACACTAACTAAAGTAAAGTGCCAAAAAAGAGTCTGAAATGATCATCTATCTTTCCTTTACATATGAACGAAATTTGGCCATCATAAACATAATAATAGACGCATATGATTTGGTACAAAAAAGTTCCAAAAATACCCTTAAACTCTTAGAAGTCATAACTATTTCCAGATAACCATAAGAAACGCATGACAAATATAATGTATTTGAATTTTTTTTTTTATGCTGACACTGAAATAGATTAAAAAAAAAAAAAAAGTACAATCATTAAAAATAAAAAAAATGAAAGAAGTGGGAGTACAAGGGTTGTCAAAGGCCGGAAGCAAATTATTATGTTTTCCAATATTTGACAAAAACAAAAAAAAACAAAAAAAATTATTATTATTACTTTATTGTATAATAAGGGTTCATAGTCACATATTTTATGTAATTTTGGCTAGATATTTATTTGAAACTAACACTTTCGAACTCTCACCGCATTCTAGTCATTAACAGAATTTTTTTTGTTTGATTGTTTGCTAAGATTTTTAGAGATTTACTACAAGAAATGATCAAACGATTTAGAAGAATATAAACGAATTTAATAATAATAATAGAAACATTCATTTAAAAACTCCTTGGTTTGAATTCAATCTCAGGGGGATTAAGAGTGTTTGAGTTTGAAACATCGTTAATAAATCTCTAAAACCAATCTTATCTTTATTTTAATGTTTCGGCAGCTGCTGCTCAAGCGTATGGTAGCCAGATGTAGCAAAAATCCATTAAAAATGGTATATTGGTTTAACGTGCTTCCCAGAAAAAATATAACAAAGCATCGCTCCCCTACAAAGCTATATTTTCCTATGAGTGGAAACCACACACAATTTTTGCCAAAACTAATGAGGAAGTTCTCCACATAACACATACAGCTGTTGTTAAAGGAAAATTAAACGGTGATACTAAGAAAAGCACAAAATCAAAGCAGAAAAATAATGTATACTAATTTAGTTTAAATTGTAATCATTTATCCAATCCTGTAAAATATAAAGTACAGACTTTAAAATCTTTTCTTTATAGTATTTTTTTATATTTTACGTTGTAAACGATAAAAAGAATACTTTTTCATTTTGCTACGTATCACTTAAACACCTGTGTTTGAAAAAGTACTTACATTTTTAAAAATCTAATCTATGTGTCGAATACTGGAAAAAAAAAAACTGTTGAACTTAGGATGGCGTCCAGTGTTCTACATTTTCAGATTTCAGACGCATTAACCCCTTTTTTTTTCCGATGTCATTCACTCAAAGTGTATTGTAAAGAGCAACCATCCCCAAATACGATAGAACATTAATATGAAATAACGACTGAAAAAATATCATTTGTATAAAACTCTGCACAAAAAAAAGAGTCAAACACTGGGTTGGTTGCCCTTTATACAAATATATTAATTCTAGATTTCCAAATACAAAATCAAATACATGCAACCAGTACTTTGGGATCATTAATAAAGTATGCACACTCACATAGGGGTGCACAGAAGTTTATTTAAAATTCAATTTAATTTTTGTATGCTTAATGGCATGCAGATTTAAATTTTAAAAGGTTAAAATTTCTCTCTATTTAAAAGTTGAACAATTTGGAAGAAAAAAACCCTTTATAACCCAACAGTTTTTAAGTATACTCAGAAAAAAGTGTTTAAAAAAAAAATTATAGATCTAAAATTTGGAAAAATATAATTTAATAACTTTTTCTTGCTAATAATAATAGTATTTTAGGAAAAAAATTGGATAATTTTCATAAAAGTGATATAAAAACGGTAAATTTTTGCACATGATTTTACTGTATTTTTTAAACATTTTGTCATTAAACCGCAGGAAGAAAGAGCCTGCAATGGTAGCATATAAGATAGAGAGCAGGTGGTTAACTATAAAAAGTAAGACACTAAACAAAAATATCATAAAACCTTGGGTAGGTAGGTTAAAAGCGTAGGTACTTTTAGAAAGGTGAAAGGTACTCAAAATAAAAGCGTAAATACTTTATGGACAACCTCTTTCCTAATACAAATACAAATATTTGAAGAGCTAAGTGCTAAAAGTACGTAAATCACAAAATAAATGTTTTAAGAAAATCTATTTTGATCAGTCATTTTAAATCCTTATTTTGAAGTGTTTCTGATCAAAGTATATTTCCTCAAAACATTCATTTTACAACAAATTGTATTTTGATTTATTCTAAAACAGAAATAAATATATTTTAAAAAAATATTTTAAAGAATAATAAATATTATAATTTTCTTATCAAATTTTTCTGAAAGACCAGACAATAATAATTTTTTTGTAAAATGGTAGATATTGGTTTTCTTTTTTTTATCCCATAAAATTTTTTATCACTTATTTGATGAATATAAATA